CTGTGAACACTAGCTCCTAAACGTATTAGGAGGGGGACACCCGCAAATTGTTTAGAAATCTCCTTAAAGCCTTTGAGGGAAATGACCAGATTGGCACAGGTTCACCACCTCTTTTTTGTCACTCATTCCCCCAGTACAGCCACCTGCCAGATGCTTGAAAGGCTCCCTTGCTGGAGCTCAGGACAAGTGTTATTTCAGCACTCGCTGCCACAGGGAAACGCCAGTCTATTTTATCCACAGGGGATAAAACAATGGGATTTTGACTCCTGAAGAGCAGATTTTGTACCACTACAGTCATTTCAGTGTGGTTTATGTATCCCTGCTCCGAACACACTTAGATTTGTTCAGAAATTATTATATTCACATACATGGATGATTATAGCTCATGGCCTTTCTTGCTTTGGAAGATAAGAGACAAGTATGCACACGACTGCGCTGCTGCAACTGCATCCACCCAGCAGGGAGGCATTAATGTTATTAAAGCAGTGCATTTGGGGTGTGGAGGTGTGTTACCTTGAAAACCCAACTGCTAAGTCACGTAGATGCTTTTGAGATGTGCAAGCCTCGCATGTGCTCGGCGATAGAGGGCTGACAGTCATTTCCAGTGACGGGCAGGATACCATGCTAGGGAGTGCTGAGCTTTGGGCTTTGCTCTTGCAATGGGGTTCGCCTGCCCTGGGGGTTCCAGCTTACCCTCTGGGGCATCTGAAGCTTGGCAGAAACATTCTTTGTGCCTGGGTGAGTGCACCTGCTTTACACAATCACTGTCGTTGAGGGGAAACACCAGCTCAGCGCGCACAGTGCTATTTATGGCACTGCCAGTGCTCCATGCCTGAATTAAGAGTCCCACATAATCCTGTTGCATCTAGTCATATGTTTAGAGATCCTTAATCCCTCCCAAATTGTCTGTTGCCTCTCAAAGAAGATCCTCACAGGTGAGGTCACGGAGAGAAGGCTGACTTCAGTAATCAAGAAAGCACGAAGGGTTCAGACGTCCACCCTGGATGAAGTGTCCCCCCCCGCCTGGCTGCCAGTGCTGCCCATCCTGCCCCTGCACTGCTGCCGTCCCCCTCGCTCTGCAGCAGGGAGTCCCCGCTCCTGCAGCTCCTGGCTTGTCCCCACGGAGCCATCGCAGGGCTATCGCATGCAGTTTGCTCTGAGATCTCAGCGGCCACGGGGGGCAAAGCCAGCTGACGGCGGTGCAGCCGGGATTTGCGCAGCAGTGGAGGGAACGATGCATCGCACCGACAGCACCAGGACCCTTTTGTCCCGGCCACCCTCAGGGCAAGGGTCTTCCAGCCCCCTGCCCACAGGGAAGGGGACACGGCGAGCTGGAGTCCCTCCTCCCAAACCATGAGCCCAGGGCTCCCACCTGTGAGCTCATCTTCCTGGCGGGGACCCCAGCATGCGGGGCCGTCTGGGGTGGAGGCTGGAGGCAGCACTGCCAGGGTGGGCAGCGCTGGCCGTCAGGGCCATCATCAGGGTCATCGGGGCCATTGTGACCACCGGGGTGTCACTGGCGTGGTGGCTGTCATAGGGGTGCCCAGGCTGAGCAGGGCTGCTCGGGCAGAGGGTGCGGAGGAGAGCAGGGGCTCGGCCAAGATTAGGAAGGTGCTGTTTGTCCTCACCCGACGGGAACCACCACTGCTGCCCCTCCAGCTGGAGCACGGCTGGGGCTGCTGCCGGCTGCTCTGCCGGCCCTGCCACCCCCACCGAAACATGTCCTTGGCAGCATGGACCCGCTCCCCGCCCCAGACACGAGCCGTTTCTCTCTCCACAGGTGCAGTTTGCTGTTCTGCAGCCACACATGAGGGTTTCTCCTCCCATCCCTCCCGTCCCCTCCCTCCCTCCTTCGGGTCCGGCTGGGGACCCGCGCTGCACAAGCACTTCGCACACCTGCGAGTGCGGCAGGGAACGATCTACATCTGCAGGGCGCAGCTCCTCGCACTGATGGAAAAGCAGATTGTTCTGGGGTGTTTACCCATATTAGGATCAAAGGCAGCCTCACACTGCGGTGCGTTACATCAGAGCAGTGCTCACATGGCCATTTCTATGCCATAAAACCTGCTGGTGGACTTCCAAGTGCTTTCCTGTGCTTTGTGCCCAGCCCGGCCCACCTGTCCCTTTAGCTGTGTGGCCTCCATCACTCAGGAGATCATGCCGTGTGGCAGTTGTCCTCCCTTAAAATTACAGCCATGCCACCAAACTAGGCAGCTTTTCTTCGTCTTTTGAGTTTGCGCTTTGCAGAAGTCCGCCTGCCCCGCAGCGTACCTACAACGCTCTTCTTGCTAGTCCTGAGCTTTTTCTGGTCTTTGGGGGGAGGTCCATGCTTTACTGGGAGGTGGAAGGTAAAGAGCGAGTATTTTTCAGCTGGAACAAATACACAGGAGTGTGCACATGAACTCTTGCAGGCCTGTTTAGCAGCTTGTGTTCACTGGGATAATAAATTCACCTCAAAACACACATCCCTTCATGTTGTGAGGAATATGTTTTCCTACGCTCACCACCCAGGGTGAGGCAAAACCATTGCTGGTGGGGTGACACGGGTACGGCTCACCGCCCCCGGAGCTCGAGGGTGCTGCGCTGGGGTCCCCCCAGCCCCGGGGGCAGAGGAACACCTCGGGGGCAATTGTCAGGGAGCTGAGTCACACTCTCCTGTTCCCGCAGAGCATCGCTGCAGCCCTGTGGCCCCTTTGAAGTCTCTTTGGTGTAACGACATTTTGTGGGACACCTTCGTGCAAGAGCCCAGGCTTTCTCATTCCACAGGATTTTATTGGCTTCTCTTCTAAAAATAGTTTCTCTTCTCCTTCCCCTTTTCCTTGTCTTTGTCTCTCTGTATATCCTGTTCAATTTGTTCAGCCAAAGACTCTGAATATCAGTGAGCGCATATGCCTTGCCTGTCTTGCAAAGATATTGTGTCTTTTGTCTTTCCAGTAGCGAGTGGGTCCTTCACGTCATCTGATTTCTGCTTTCAAGAGGTGCCAATGAATTTTCTTTAAATGTCTGGGGCTCAGTTAGATGGGTTCCCATGAAGAGCTCTCAGGAGGAATGCTGTTTTCCAGTTTCCATCCTATTACCACTCTTATCTGCAGGCAGGACTATCCCCTTTCCTGCGATCTCGGCGAAAACGCGACTGTAGGTCCCTGTGCTGTGTTCCCTGCACAGTGAGCGCAGGGTGTGCAGGAGTCACACTCGTGCAAATATTTGCAGGATGGTTTCCTTTCTCTGTCTCACACAAACAGCAGTTAAGATAACTGTCAGACAGGGTGTCAGACAGAGTCCCACTAATTGCAGGCCTTGTGCACGGCACAGAGCCGTCCCTTCGGCATCGCTCGCTGCTCCTGGAGCGGATCTCGGGAGCGGCGGCGGGAGTCGGGCACAGGCTGCCCATGGAGACTCCCCGCTCCCCGGCCAGGAAAGGCGTCTGAGCAGCTGGATGGAGCTGCACATCTGCAGAGCAGGCTAAATTCTCTGAAAACTGTCTTAAATACTTCTAACCCCTATACTACAATCACAGTATTGAATCCACGTGGTATGACATTTTATCTCTCCTTTTCTTTCCCCATTTGCCATTCATGTTAATTCACTTTATTTAAGTGCTGCCTGACAATTTATGCCATGATTAGATTTTCCTTTTGAAATATCATAACAGTGCTCATTTTTCATTGTTCATGGGTGATTTAATGTGTCGCCCTAATTTGTACTTTGCGGCAAAAAAAGGTTGTGAAAAGCATAATTTCAAAGTGATTAAAGAAGTGATACTTATCACTGAAAAGAGACATCTGTATCGTTTTGACTCTCAAAATATGCTGGAAATATAGAAATAGGTGTGACAGGATGATCTTACCCTGATGCTGTGAGCTGTGTTTCAGAGTTAATGTTTCAACAGCTATTTTGCGTTTAAAGTTCTCCAGAGATCCCAGCATTTATTAATAACCAATGTTACTCATTAACTCCCAATTTTTACTTGCATGACCCAGAAGATTGTTGGCAACGTTAGACGCTTGCTTTTGTACCTGAAACAAGCCATGATTTGGGGCCGAGTCCCACTGCCTTTAGGCTTTTGCATCAGAAAACATCCCAGCCCCTAATGACACGCAGGTCACGCCAGGGAGGAAGATGTGCCTGGTGGCGCGTAGTCCCACCGAAGCCAGTAGGGATCTGCAGCGGGGCTCACAGGCGTGGAGGATGGGGAGTTGAATGCTTAGTAAGACACTTCCTAAAAACTCAGTGCTAATTTGCTTCCTAGCATACACACGGGAGAGGGAAAGGATTACACTTCAGCTTTCCCTTGCCTCTGGCTGACGTTCCCTTGTATTGCACGGACACCTGCAGATCTCGGACAGGGACTTCAGGTCCCAAGGCTGGTCTTGGGGCAGGGGACCCCAGCCGTTGGGTCGGGACTGCCACTGCAGGCCAAGAAAAACACCGGAGACAGTGAGAGAAAGATCAAAACTCTCACACCCAAACGCTCGGTATACCACCGACGTGAAAAGACGGGTAGTTCGTGTCAGGTCGGGGATTTTTAAGAGGACTCGGACGTTGAGCGACATTTAC